ATCAACGCGGAATGAATGAAGAACCGATTTTAAACAGCTGTACGTATAATTTACAAAGCTAAGGGGTCTCGTAAGATACCCGCATTGCGGTGTTTTACCGTGCCACTATAATTAAAAGGGGCAAGATGAAGGGAAAACTAAAATCGTGGTTAAGATTAATGGGCTATTAACCTAAAATGTTACCGTTAAGTTAATATTACTGTAGAATGAAGTTACTTTGTCGAAATTATATTTTAGTGAGACTTAATTTGCTCTCGGGGACAGTTGCTCGTGTTAATGAGTGTTGCTTTATTTAGCCAAATGTGTATGGCGATGTTTATAATGTAACAAATCTTAAACGCACTTTGAGAGCTTATTACTTAGCTGAGTTTCTTGGCAAGGGATACCTTAGCGTACAATGTGCTTTGTTATTTGTTGGAAATAGGAACAATTCCATAATTAAAACGACCCCTACCCCATTGAATTGAACATCGTTCGAAGATTCTAGTACATTCAACGTTCATAAAAATACATGAGCCTATAATCTCCTCGCAGCCATTCAAACCACTCATCGGGTCTTAAACCTGCAATATAAACAGGCTCAAGGAATCATAATTATAAACAGCTCGGTTACCCGAGACATCGTTTTTGACGTGCGCACGCGTCGCGCCACTCGTGTCCACCGTGTTATTGTAACACAAGATGTTTTACCAAAAGCGGGTATAATGAAACCAGTAACGCCACTGTTCTGATTACACTGCGCTGCTGGAATATTTGCCTGCTATTTTATCATCTTTGCGCGATGCAAGTAATTGTGTCCTTTGAATTTTCATAACAGTGTTCATGCTGTGAATTTTTTCTTGCTATTTATGAAATAAGTACTAGAGGAGCTTTAACGCATCCAGTGCCCCCGACGCGTATGTGCGTCGGGGGCACTGGATTCGTTAACCTATAAACCGTGCAGTGGTTTCCCACGGATAAATGCTAAAGCTAAGAAATTCTTAAATAAATCTGACTTATTTTCCATCAGACAACTCATAAATATTCAAAGGTTGACCATTTTTTCAGGCTTTTATGGGTCATAATTAACAAGTAACGCAGCCAAACGTGGTCACAGTTTCCATGCCGTTAAGCATGGTTAATTATGGTAAAAAGATTAAGTTGTTAACTGATAATTTTACTCATGAACGGACTTGCGTCACTGTGCCGCTCCTTATGCAATATTTTACTCGTTGAACATAAAAATGTCTATTTAAAAGTATTTTAAACCATTTAAACGTTGCCCAATGACCACATTTCGTATAGTTAACAACAAGTCGAACTGTTAAATTACTAAACAAATAATGGTGTAGACCTTGTTCGTTGAAATCTATGATAGGCAGACAGTTAGTTACAATAATAATTGCCGAAGTTAATTGACTGTAATGTGTTTTTTACAAAAATAACAATATAAATTGCCAAATCAGTTAGAACTTAGTTTTACGCGTATAACGCGCGAATAGATTAGAAATCCTGAGTTTTACGCGTATAACGCGCGGATAGATTAGAAATCCTGCAGAGTTAAGAACCACAAACATGACGTGTTGACTTATGTGCCACAGCAAGTATGTTCTCGTTGAGCTAAAATACTAAAGAAACTGATACGGTTTACTGATAACTGGCCGCTGGTCAACTAGATCGTAAAGCAGGTTAATTGTGAAACGCTCGTAACGACAGCGTTTAGGTTATACGCCCTTTGTTGACTTTATCACCACGGGTTTACGGTGTGGTGAAAGCTTTAACTGTGTTTCTCGTCACATTGCCTTTAATCTTTTCAGTTTAACGATACGGAATAAATATTGTCTGGTTTTAGGGTTTGGCTTTGGCTATACTACCAGTTATGTTCGACTGTCTTTTATCTAAGTATACTAATATTATAAAGAGGTAAAATTTATAAGTTTGTATGAAGGGGATAATCTTTGGAACCGATGGTCGTATTGCCGAAATACTACATCTTATCTATATCTTTCACTGATAGGTAAAAAAAAATCATGCTACGATTAAATGGAGCTGAGCAGCTGGTGAAACCGCGCGAGAGTAGCTAGTGGTTTAAAATGGTGCAAAAGGGTTTGTTTCTTTTAAGTATAGGTTAGCACCCTTGTAACTGATATTCTTTCAGTTTATACGGAGATCGGCTTTCCTCCTACAAGTACTATAGCTAAGGCGATTAAAAATTTTGGTCGAGTTATTAATTTTTCATAGGCGATGGACAAAAAATACACAGTCCAAAGAAATAATAATCTGAATAAAAACGAAAAACCTATAAGTCCATTGTCAACAGCTCAACATCCTATCAATAACTACACAAGAATATACTCATGCAAAGGGCCGTGGGAAAATAACACCATTCTCAGTACTGTGTTGTTTTTTCTAAGAAACTAATACGTCATAAGTCTCGTTGTTAAGTTGTTACATTATTATAGCACATTATAGATTGATCTCCGACGGCTGCGTACGTTTTCAATGTCAACGGAATCATAAACTAATGATTTTGTTGTTATATCATGCTTTTGAACTGTGGCCTCACGATTCGGACGAGACTTGATGACTTCGATTATTATACATCGATTCGATCATCGATTGATATGTGTTTTAACTCAATAGACTAGGTATATCGTTGGTTTTCTTTTCATTTCGATGCTCATAAATATTAGTCACGATGATATAGTAGGAATGAACTTTCCGAAGATAGATTTATTTATTGCCTTGTCTTAATGAAACAAACATTAAATTCTTATAACAGTTGTTTATTAATCCTTCTAATATTGGTACGGAAGTATTTTTTGTAATTAGACAAAGAAAGACGCTCAGGATTCATTATTGTAGTCCAATATTCATCTCCGGTCATAATAAACTAATGCGCATTGCGAACAACACGCAATTTGTCAATTGAGTATTAAATTAAGACGGTCTTAAAGTTTCCGTACAGTTAGGTGTACTTAAAAGCGAAGGAAAGCTTCATAAAGTGTAGGAAATGATATGAAACTTATCCCCGAGTGCCGACATAAAGTTTATATTGCGTTCGAGTTTTATTCGTTCAGCCTATATTTCTGTACTGATCGGTTCATCTAGTTGAAAACTTATCACCACACGAATCCTTTTCGAGTTAAGTAACACTGGAACTGGATGGATTCTTACCCTATTCTTTCAAAGTATATCGTATCACTACATGATATAAAAGAATACCGCTTTCTTTGTCCCTATATCCCTCTGTATACTTATATCTTTAAAACTGTGCAACGGATTTTTTGCTGTTTTTTTAATAGGTAGAGTGATTGAAGAGTAAGATTTATATTTTATTTTATTTTTTATTTTTTTAATAGGAAAACAAACAGTTTTATTACAATCACTTAGATTACAAATATTAAAATCTAGAAACCAATTAAATGTTTTCACATACGAATAATAAGCTTATCTGTTTAAAAAAAAAACAATGAAAGTGTTACACTACAGCAATATAAAATACAAACTAACTTAAATTAAAACGTCGTATATGAATAATAACATCCATTAAATAGTAGAGAAATCTCTCTCTCGGTAGACAAACGCTTTAATGTTATTTAGCTCTTAGCTCTGGACCTCATGGACCATATCCTACATACAACTTTACTACTATAACTACATTGCCTATTTTCATATTCCTCCATGATTCTCAGAAAATAGAATCGATTGTCTCGCTACAAGGCCTCCACGCTAATATTTTTCCGTAAACAAGTACTGTTATGTCAAAAACAATACGAGTGGTGTGACTTTGTCCGATAAATACAGTTTCGTTTCGTACTATGGCTAAACAATGTGTCGCATCCATTGTTCACATTTTCCGAAATGGAAATTTTAAATACAAAACAGTATTTTTCTTCTTAAATGGTTTCTTTAGCTTCGATGTATTAAAGCTGTAAGGATAAAGCTAATTATGACTTGACTTGATTTTAATTTAACTATCTTCATCGCCTATAATCGCCCTGCGTGATCCTGCTGTGCTACTGAGTGAAGGCTTCTTGTCATATGGAGACAGTTTGAACAATAATGACTTTACTTGCTCGAGGCTGATTTGCGATACGCGAAACTTATAGTAATCATAAGTCTAGGTTTTCTCACGATGTTCCCCTAAGCCGCATGTCAGTGGTCTCTATTTAAAAAAGTACATATTATCAAACTCCTCTCATGCGAAAGCCTTACTTAACCCCCCAAAACATGTAATTTACCGTTTTTTTACAAACAATGGCGAACAAAAGGACCCAAACATCTATTTGACAAAACATTGGCATCAAATTTTATGCTAATCAAACCATTGGTATTATATGATATTCCCAATTGTTTGACCATAATATACATCGTGTGTAGAATAGTAATGTACCCAGTTATTTGCCTTATCGTAAACGCTTCCTCAAACATGTTTAGCATGCGGCAATGTTATGCAAAACATATGATTAGGGGTAAAACCCAGTCGTATTGTATCTGTTCCATCGACGACCGTTTGACACATACAGACAAAAGAATCACCTGTCATAGCAGCAACGAATGGCATTGTGTGAGACAACCCTAACCGAACTTAGTAAACCCGTTTCATATAATGCTTTTATGCAACCTATTTCACTTAAGACCGCACCGCGAATATTTTGATTTTAGATAGCTCCGCCCACTACACCCCGCGCGCTTACCGCGTCGCGCAACCCATACTTTTCACTCAATGTGTAAATTTTGAATTTCGCGCCAATCGCAAACGCCGAGGTCACCGCGGGGTCAGGAGAACCGAACAGGGAAGATAAGGAGCCGCAACTTACATTTAATTTTTTTTAACGGATTTTTTTTTTGTACTTACAAACAACTAGTATTAAGTGGTTAAGGAATAAAAGCGTCGAAGATCTTGTATCATTTAATAAATGTGTGTGTAAGTATCAAAGAAGTAATGAAGCTAAGTAATTATTTTCAAAGATATTTATTAAAACTGAAATGTAAATAATAATGTTATGTAAAAAATACTAAAATTGACTAAATTGTATTTCAGAAATTACGTTGATGGGCTCCTCGGTCATTGATTCTCGATCATTCAAATTTTCTTTATTTTTACTGATATTTACGTAATTAGGTTCCCGAATCGGTAGCTTTCGAGTGTGACGCGGGTCCACCAATTCTGGTAGGAGACAGTCAAAATAAAAAGAAATTAATTTTGGCTCCATCTTATCAGTCCAAAACTCATCATCTTTAAAAATTTCTTCTACCTTTATCTGATTGTCTCCATACCATACTGCCAATATGCATTTTGGTACATCACAAACATGCATCTGTCCCTGGACCTGCATATACCAGTCGGACATCTTATTTATTACGATATCCCCTGTTTTTTTATTTATCCTCCATAAATGCATTTTGCCTTGACTTATGGCTGCCTCAATGCCGATTTTAAAAGGAATTACAGGACATTTTATTTCTACCAGGGTGTTATTTTCTATAATACCATCTGGTGTTGCTCCCAAAAATGGATGAGTTTTGTCGATGTATAGTCCACACGGGTCTATAGTCACTTTTAATAATTTCGATAGTTGCTCTAGAGCAACCTTCTCATGTGTTCGGCCATGGTTTATTGACGCCACGTGCCCAATGTCTGGTTTGTAAAGCATATTTTTGACAGTATTGGCACAACTATTTGTTCTTTTCCTTTTAACAATTTTCCCAAAATTAGACGCCGTTAGAAGATTCCTGCGTAACTCCATCCACTCTCCGCTCTCACTCTGCAGAATTGTGCGTGATTGAATTTCATTTCTTTCGGCGTCGCATTTCTCTAAATTTTTCAAAAAAGTGGTTTTACAGTTTTGATATGTTTCTGCATCCATATCAGGTGCTTCGACATTTTCGCCGTAATTGAAATCAAGTTTTTTTGGCAACAAAGCACGGTTTTTCCGTCTTTTAATTGTTCTGTGGTATCTCCTTCTTTGGTCAACTTTTTCTTCGTAAGTCTTAAGCCTTCTGGAAGGAGATGCTTTATATATATTTTTAGATATGGCCGAATGGATTTTGCCCGTGTTGAAAGAAATAACTGCTCCTGCACAACGGGCTTGGTAGGAGCGCTTTAAGGAATAATTTATTCTCTTTCCACCCACAAATTTCGCGATAACTCCATTGAAACGCTCAACTACATTACTGTCAACATTTTCAATGAGGCTTCTTGCATGTGAAGAAACATTGGTAGTGATAAATCTTAATTTGTTAAATATGTAACTATTGAAAAAGTCTGCGCATTCCTGGGACACGTTTTCTCTTGAGCATATATTTTTGTTGCACTCGCCATGTTTGCCAAAAGCATGATTCATGGATTGGTTAATATCCACGTGTAAACTTTTTATACCATCTAATTCTCGATTTTTATTGTGATATGTTATGGAATCCGTGATATATTTTCTTGCTGTTAATATTTTTGCGGTCGTTACTTTTTTTCTATCATTCAAATTAAATTTAGTGTCGGTCTTTATTTGCTGTAATTTATTACAAAAATTTCTTAAAATGTGATTCCGGCAATTAATTTTCTCCACTGTTACGTCTGGATAAGGTCGAGATTCCAAAATTTTAGCGTAAGTGCTGCTATCTCCATCTGCTATAAAACGAGCATATATTAAATTGTGCATTTCAACAGACTGTTTAAAGCCTTCTACCAATATAGCAGATTCCATTGCAGTTGAAGTACCGCTATAATTTTTAAAACATTGGTGTGCTCTAGGAGTTGTATTACGCTTTTCAGATCTGGCACAAATGCAACAATATTTGTTTTTTACGCTCATAAATAAAATTTGGCCGAAACGTCTTCCTACAATGGCAGCGGCCCCAGAGAGTGCAGCATAGTTGGATTTATAAGAGCGTTTCGACCAACAACCATCGGCAATGACGTCTATTAACGCAATGCCGTCTTTAGTCACTTTGCCTTCGTTTATAGCAGCCTCGCGTTCTCTTTCACCTGCCGTTTTCATTTCATCCCAAGCCGTTGTCTCCCAGGCCTGACATATTTTATTTTGACAAGCACTGTAAGTGTGTTCCGATATAGATGGTAAATCTAAAGAGGCTGTTATTCGTTCTAATTGTGCATTGCCACAACCTGCAGTCATTGTACCCTCAATCAGTTTGGTATTTAAATCTTCTGGAGTGTTTTTTATAGTAAACCGTGTTTTGCACAGCAAGCATTCATACAAGAATTTCGAAACCAACCCTTTCTTTGTTTCCGAAATTAGCTCCATGGTGTTAAAAGAACATTGGAATAGTGATTTGTGGCTGGATATTCGCATAAGCTCTTCGGTAAAATATTTGAAATCCACTATTCTGTGATTCCCATCTTTTATTTTCTCAATCTAAAATATTTAAAACAACATATTAAATAAATTTTATATTAAAAAAAGTTTTTACAAAAAAAAAAACCAACAACCGACTTCACAAAAAGACTAAAACCGAAGAGTGCCTTCGATGCTCTGTCATCTCTATTATCAGATCAGCTCTATATCTTCATGGTATTGAAGTGACATCAGACTTTCACCTGAATATCAAAATTTTACTCAAAACGGTCCTACAATTTTCAAAAGATAACCTTTTCATTTTAAACAAAAAAGGAATTATTCAAATTAGTTATTACCTAAACAGCGGAGAAATGCGCGAACAAACATAAAAAGCATATTTACGGTCGAATTGAGTAATTTGGGAAGTCGGTTTAAAAACAGATGACTAAGACGCTGGCAAAAGCTATCTAGCTTTTAATGAAAGGTTACAAGTTTGATTTATCAGACACATACTTGCTGTCCTTGTGTTGCTACTTCACAAGGTAAATCCCATAGTTCGTTGACAGACTCTGGTTTTTCTTTATCTATATTATTATCATTATTTACATCGGTAAATTTTCTTTTGCGTGTATTTCTGCAAATAACAATCAAATTTATAAAAAACGAGTAACCTAAAATATTTTTCAGCTGATTAAATATAAAGTTACCATATTTATAGACCGAGATTAGATAGAGTTTGAGACTTACTCATTTGAAACATCCTTAATTTGTTTAAGTTGTTGTTCAATAACTTCACTACTTTGAGAAACTTTATCGACGTTATGTGTTTCTTCATGATCCTGTAGTTGGCTGCTTTTATTAATATTACACCAGGTTTCTAATACCAAATGATTGCTGCCAATAAATACCAATAAAATATATGAATATTTTAATCCAACATTAAATCTATATAAAAATATAAAAATCACTTGTCTTACGTTTCTTTCACATTCGTTGCCGGAATCGCATCTAAGTCGCTTATTGATTTTACTGGCAGAATCTGTTCGTTTTGCAAACTTTTCCTAAGAGACAATAAAATAAACATTTTAACTTTAAAATAACATACAACTAAAAACAAAGCCTCCATAGATTTTCTACTCTCAGAAGACTTATATTTACGTACGTAGTACCTAACTATTTAGTGTACAATAGTAGTAAATAAAAAATAACATATAACTGAGAATTTTATACGGTCTCCATAGATTTTTTGTTCTCAGAGTGCTTATATTTACGTAGTACCTAACTACTTATTTAGTGATGTGTGCTAATATTTACAATATCTAAGGACATTCATATAAGTATAGGGTGGCTGGTAATTAGTGAACGATACTTAAACACGTGTTTGTGTTGATGGTATCAAACAACATTTACTATAGAAGCAATGTCGAAATCGCGAAAAAAATATCAGCTGTTTATTACCTAAAAATGGTTTTTATGCAGCGACTCGGGCAATATTCAAAGCCGTAAAGTTTGAGGAGATCTACCTATAGTTATATCTCTACTACGAATGGTTATTGTTCACAACTACAAAACTAAAAAATACGTTACAGAACAATAATTTCACTAAAACTAACAAATTACAACTACATAATCTAATTGCTACATAGGTAGGTATTGATGATTTTCTTTTATTTACCTTGCCTTTTTCAACTCTTGCATTTTTTTGGCACATTCTTTAAGTTGTTGTTTCCTTATTCTTTTAGAAACAACTTTTTTTGTTCTCGCCATTTTAAGTATTTTAAACTTAAACCTAATTTAATAATACTAATTTAATAAAACCTATAATTTCTTATCCTACTAATAATTACACATACAAAATATTTAATTAAAACCTAAAATTAAAATTACGACACGAATTATTATACCTAACGGCCGGAGCGACAACATGCACAGATCCGAACTCGAAGAGGGCTATCGCCGGACTGGCTCGTGTCCGTACACATTGTGTATCAATCGCTAGAGCACGGGCATAAGGTTCAGAATTGCGTAGCGTGTACCATGATCGCGGCCGCTCGAAAAATCCGATATCTTAAAACTTTAATTAAAAATGTTTGGTAATAGTTATGGAAAAATGACTTTGACAAAACCTTAATATTGATGTTACGAATATATTAGAGTAATTTTGAAACATAAAGATAGTGTATCTTACTCGTAATTTCAAAAATAGTACTTTTTTAGACGTGTTTTCGGAATTAATTATGATCGAGTAAAATTATCAGTATCGTGTTTTCGTTCAGACAGAATCTAGATAAAGATATCAATTTACCTTTATCAAAATTTCAGATCCATTGGTAAGCTGGTATTCCTAAAATTTGGCATGGCAAACTGCAAATAAAATCAAGGTGGCGCCTTAAGTACGCGTGCGCCTTTATAATTATTGTTTGCCCTTAGCATCCATGTAGGGAAAACATATATTATACGCATTATACGCTCTTTTTATTCGTATGCCCTTAGGGTGAAATTATTGCACGCGATTTAATACTCGAGATACCATATTTAAAATGATTTCTCAGTTGACTGTAAAGGTTCTAAACAAAGAGCTCCTTTCAATGCGGTTTCGTTTTATTTTTAAACAGTACATACTTGAAATTAACTTAAACTCCCACACGCCATCAGTAGTGGGTGAGTGACCCAATCAATGCGATTGCTCTCAGTACAATAAAATACTTAATTACTATGCCATTAACGTTAAAGTTTATCATTTAACCGCCCTTTTCCTTACACGGATCTTCCAATTCTTTTTCTAAATAAAATATTTCATTACATATTTCCTAACGAATTGAGCAAACAGTATTGTTATTTTTTATTGAATTGTATACCGTAACAACTTACACATAAAGTTCAAATTCATTTGTTAAATCAAGTATGCTAATTACGACCTAAATATCCGACATGTATGAACAGGCGACAGACTTAATTGCCGAAATCAAATACAGTCGTGCAACGTTGCAAATGAGACGTAAGGTATCGTGGGATCCCAATACATGTATCTTAAATCTGATTATTATTTATGTTATGGATTATATGAATATGTATGAGATAAAGCTTTTACGTACACTGGTAATACAGGATTACGAAAGAGATGTCTATCGACAGACGAACAATAATAGCACAGATAATGAAACAGAAGGTTTGCGTCTCGGACTTCAATATAAACAAACAGTATCAAAGCAAACCAATAATTTCAGTCGTTTGAAGTTTTTGTGGTCTTTCAAGAGCTAATTAAAGTTAGACTTTTATTTAGTACACTGGGAATATAAATTACTGAATTTACCACAGTAGTATAAAGTCTAGTCTGTTTAGTTCAGTTACAAATGCACTTAAAAAAGATAGAGTGGAAAATGTATGTTAAAGATCTCCACAAGCTGCAGTAAATTGCTAGAGAAATAACTACTAGTCCTATACTCCAAACAAAAAAATTGTCAAACTATCTTATCCCAATCCTTCGACCCCCAAAATGGCAAGTCACACCTCGGCGTTACGGCTGTCCTGAACGGTCTCTGATTGCTTAACTTCAAGTGGTGTGACTCATTTCACAACATTTCCCACGAAAAAGAACACTTCATCTTTCTGAAAGTGAGATATACAATTGATTACATGCTATACAAACCTGACCATCCATTAAGGATGTGCCAGTCTCGGTTTTCATTTTGCTTTATTGCCATTTTGCGGTACAACTGTTCGTTTCGCCCACGCTCCTAACTTTATCTGGTAATCAGTTTCTAAACAGTAGAATGTTTGTTTGAGTACCTTCGGACATCTGTTTGAGCTTAGGATGGCACCAATATGACGAAATATAGGAAGAATAGGCTTCTTCCTTATAAGAGGAGTAGGTAGACTGCAAAATATTACAGGTTATCAAGATGATAGACGATGGTGGATATAATGAAAAGGTTACTTTGACACGTATAATTTAAGGATCCAAACAAATTTAAACAGGTTTCATAAGAAAAACAAAAATAGCAGTTGATTAAAAAGTGAGCAGATCCTTAATTGCGTTTTTATGACTTTTTAATGGATCACAATTTCTTCGCGTATTTAGATATTCATACTCAATTTTCTTTGATCATTTCGTGGTATTTGTTCTTAAATGTAAGGTCCTTAAAACTGGCAATAAGAAATGGCGAAAATCGAAAAAATACACATTTTTTTTCTTTTAGTTGCTAAAACGCCGATGTATGCTAATGACCAGTGAATTCTAGTTTGCTGGGTGCTTCTGCACTGACAGTATCAGTACATACGCACTATCCGTTATCTACACGTTCTGTATTAAAAGCTCAGCTTCCGGACTCAAGTTATGTCATTGTTTTTGTATTACATGTTTATTTAATTTTATGTTTATGGCCCTGTTGGATCCTTTTATACTCCTCTTCTAGATTGGAATGATTACTGACGAGCATAAAGTTTTTACATATGCTTATAAGAGTACATACATAAATGTAGTTAGTAATTATTGCTTCCTTATTCAAGCACATTGAATTATGTCCCAATATTCTTTTTAAGTCTTTCTCCATATTTATTTCAATTTATACACAAATGTAGGCAACGTTTCCCGTTGGTTTTTATAACTATGATTATTTTCCTGTTCTGCAGTGATATTAATGAATTAATTCATAATTAATTTTACTAATTAATTAGCCAGTTTAACATGGAACTGTAGCATCCAGCCACGGACTAAAGCCGTGACACATATTCAATTACAAGTCGTTTGTATAATCTATAAATAACCAGTTAGTGACCACAATCATACAGGGGCTCAAGTGGTCCAAATGTACGAAACCTGCCTAGGCTGACTCACACAGAAAGCGTTGTTTTTAAAACCTGATGATTCATTGCGGAAGAAATCACTTTCGACTGGCCAATCTTCAAGTTTGGTGAGTTGACGTCTTGAATTTAAATAGATTCGTAGAGTTGGCATTGTAGATTCCATGTCAACCAATAAATTGACAATAGTACCTGCATTGGCACGTCGCTGTCCGCCTAAAGTCGAGCCCACAGCCCATATCTATCTAAAAATGGCGAAGTAATAACTATGTCACCAATATTTGAAAACCAACAACCTACACTTGGCCCTCACAATGGATTACCACGTACTTCCTCTCATATTGGTCCTCAATCTACACAATGAATGTCTTTTCATTAAAATTGTCTTTCATAGCTTTAACAATATCTGAATGTGACAAGTTAATTAAACTATCGAAAGTGAGAGTATTTACTTCGTTATTGTATTTTAATCCTAATTAATTCGATCTAGACTAAACTATTTTACTATATTATATTTAATAAGTTGAATTGTCCTCCAAACTAGTCGACTTCATATCAATTATTTATTTATGAAGTACTATCGCCTAAACTACTTACTTACCAAGGATTACCTACCGTTCGTTTAATTCTATTAGCGATCCAATAATTGATCACAATCTATATTTCTTTCATGAGGTGAAAATTTGCATTTATATGATAATGAATACTAAGCAATCGTTATCTTTTTTGTATTGACCAGAAATATTTGCGCAGTTTGCACGATATCTCTAACTTGTTTACTTCTGTGTATCAAATTCCAAGAATTCCATACTGTTCACTATAAAAAGATCGTACGATCTAATTCCAAGGGAGACGAACGGCAGACGACACCATGCTTATTGTTTATAGCCTATGCAAACAATTCAACTAGTATTTTTCCTAATAAATAGTCTCCTAAGTGGAAACATATTTTATCTTTATGTGACACATTTTGGCAGCTTTCGTTGCGTTAGAAAAACAAATTTTGATTGGATTAGTAGCATTGGAAAATAGCCCAATATTATTGGAGTTGGTAGTCGAAATGATACTGTAGTGGCTACTTCATCTTGAGAATGACTCGCGTTAGGAGAATCAATTACCCAATTGCTTTCTGTAGTAGTCATGAGGAGGTGAGTTAAAGATTATATTAGGAACGTGACTAAAATCCACTCGACTACCAACGCGATTTATGCTAGCATCAGTACGATTATCAACGACTGGGTCTTAGATAACATAATATTCAAGTGGACTTTGCACCTGTTTGAAGTTCATCGCTATAGAATGACGCCGGTTAAAAAGGTTTTCCCTGGTTTTAATTTGATTCAATATTTGACGAGGTCAATATTAGCTGTGTTGGAATTAAAACATACCGTTCTGTATCACTGTATAACCTCTGAATTCACTAGGCACGGCCTATTTGATATAATTGTGGTTTAATAATGCATAATTGGATGAATTTTAGTTATTGTAGAACGCAAACTTGAATTTCTGGTTGTATTGTATTTGGCAAGTATTTTGGCTATTAAATTGCTAATCTTTTCTCCGTTATATCAACGGACTGTCTTAACATCAAAGTGGAATAGTTGAATATATCAATTATTGATTTTACGATGGCCAGTGATATTCTTTCTACGTTAAAAGTTGTATAAAAACCAACCTTGTTAATTAACCTACCTGACAGAGAAAATGTGACCTCTGACTTAGGAAAGGCATTCAGATCGTCAGATAACATATTCTAAATCCATGAAGTTAAAAATATCTCTCCGAGCATGGAAATTTTGCTGTTGTTTACCACTAATATAAAAAGAGTACAATTAAGAACAATAAAGAAAATTTATTTTTATGTTAGTATAGATAATGGAGTTATGATTCGTCCGGATCAGGAAACGGATCATTGACTCGTTAGCAATGCGTAATGAGTTGCGATAAACTCCTATCTTCCCGCC